TCCGCGCCTGAAGGAAGCAAAGGCCGCCCCGCTGGCCGCGCGCCCGGAGGTCCGCGCCCTCCGCCGCCGCCCCTCCTCGCTCCCCGCAGGGGCCCGTGAGCCCCCGAAGCCCCGCACTGGGCACGGAGCCCCGCCGCGCCCCGTCCCTGACCCACCCCGCGCACGTGACTTCGGGGAAACCGAGAACTGCGGCGCGGGCAGGCGGGGCGGCTGGGACTCGGCCCCCTCGCCCCGCCTCCGCCCCTTTCGCCCCGCGGCCCGCCTCCGCCGCGAGCGCCCTCCGATCCCGGAAGGCCTGCTGCGTTCCGCCGCCCTTCGCCGCCCGCGCCCCGCTCCCCGGCCCCGCCCCTTCCCCGCCCCGCCCCGCCGCGGTCTGGACCAGCCCGGGAGGCAGCAGGCGGGCTGCACCGCCGCCTTCTGGACAACCGCCACCCGGCCGCGAGCCGCGGCACACGGTCTGGTCCCGGCCACCGCGTCCACGGTCCCCGGGACGCGCCGGGAAACACATTCCCCTCCCGGCACGGCACACGAGCCGCCCGGCGGCTCAGGGCCCCTCGGCCGCGCGCGGGCTGCGCACCCAGAGCCTCGAGCCCGCGCCCTCGCGGCGGGAGGACCCGGGCGCCCGGCGGGGACGTGCGGTCCTGCGGTGCCCCCTGGCGGCCGCCCGGGCAAACGGCGGCCGCAGCGCCTGAGCGCGGCAAGGTGTCGGGCTGCGAAGTGGCGTCTCCCGGGGGAGCTGTGGTCAGATCGGCGCCGTCAGTGCCCCAGTTGCAAGGGCAGGGAAGGCGTTAGACTCCGTAAGACCCGAATTCTGACTTGCTCCGCGTTCTGACCCAGGTGGGCCCCCGGCGCGTTTCTGATGAGACCGAGGCCCCAATGAGGACGCGCTTTACCTGGGGGCCCGGAGGTTCTCGGTTTACCCTGTGGCTGTTGGCCCCGCGCAGTGGGGACGACCCGCCGAGGGGCCGGAGGAGCGCGGCGGGACAAGCCCCTGCTGGCTGGGTGTCGGGCCGGTGCCGCCGAGGCGGGATCGCTGCGTTCTGCCGGAGTCCTTCCGCGGTGCCCATCAACCCGCGGACACCCCCTCGCAGCGCTGCGGGTCCCCCCTCCCGCGAGGACACCCTCGTGCGAGAGCCGCGGGACAGGTGTCACGCCCCCTGCCACAGGGGCCGCGCGGGTTGGTCGAATAGCCAGTGGGGAGCCGGGCGCGTGCAGGGGCTGGGAGGTCAGCCAGCTCTCCACGGCCACCCACCCGCTTGAAGAGGAGACAGAGCTGCCCCAGACTCCACCTCTGTAGGTCGGCCTGGCCGGGGATACTGGAAAGTTTGTAAGAAAGAATAGCTACTTCCAGCCAATATGGAGGTGTAGGCAGATACACTTTGCCTCCTGGCATGACCAAACTAGGGACAACAACAAATGTAAAAACAGAAAATAACCAGAACTGCCAGAAAATGGAATTGTATGGAAGTCTGCCAACCAAGGAGCTAAAGAAGAAACGTTTACCCAGACCCGTGGGAGGGCCGAGGACAGGCAGCCCTGTGGGGAGGGTGGGAGGCCAGGTGGCGGCTGGTGGCCCGGGCGACGCCACATTTGCTTGTGGATAAACCCGACGAACCCCTGGCACGCGACACAGACCATGCAACCCAGGGCTCCTGGGGAAAGAACGCCTCACCGTCTGTGGAGGTGAAAACCGATGGGGGTTGCGGCAGCGGGAGAAACTCCCAGCCTCCCTCACAGGAGGGTCTGTTGGAGAGGCCCACGGGGCCCTAGAACGCACACAAACCCGCCCACCCAGGAATCAGCACCAGAAGGGCCCGATTTTCTTGTGAGTATCGGGGGAAGTGACTGAAAGCCAGTGGGGAGCCGACCACGTGGTGTTGTTCCCTCTCAGACCCCTCCCCCACCTACAGCGTCACAACACAGCAACCTGGGGGTCCCGCCCTGGTCAGCACCTAAGGCTCCACCACTTCAACGTCACAGGCGCGCGGAGACAGAGAACTAGGGCCCCAATGAAAGAGCAGATCAAAGCTCCCAAAACAGAACTGAGCCACCAAGAGACGGCCAACCTATCAGATGCAGGGTTCAAAACACTGGTGATCAGGATGCTCACAGAAATGGCCGAGTGTGGTCGCAAAATGGAGGGAGAAGTGAAAACTATGCAGAGTGAATTAAAGAAGAATGTACAGGGAACCAACAGGGAAGGGAAGGAAACCGGGACTCAGAGCAATGACTGGAGCCAAAGGAAGAAATAAACTTTCAACCAGAACAGAATGATAACACAAGAATTCAGAAAAATGAGGAGAGGCTTAGGAACCTCCAGGAGAGCTTTTCAACGTCTGAATCATAATGGTGCCAGAAGCAGAAGAGGAAGAGAAAGAAATTGAAAACTTATTTGAAGAAATAATGGAAGAAAACTTCCCCAATCTGGAGAAGGAAATAGACTTCCAGGAGATCGAGGAAGCTCAGAGAGTCCCAAAGCCCTTGGACCAAGGAAGCACACGCGAAGGCACATCATGATTACATTCCCCAAGATTAAAGATAAGGAGAGAATCTCAAAAGCAGCCAGAGAAAAGGAGACACCATAAGAGTATCAGCTGACTTCCCAAAAGAAACCTTGCAGGCAAGAAGGGGCTGGCAAGAAGTATTCAAAGTCATGAAAGGCAAGGACCTACATCCAAGATCACTCTATCCAGCAAAGCTACCCTTTAGAATGGAAGGGCAGATCAAGTGCTTCCCAGGTGAAATAAAGTTAAAGGAGATCATCATCACCAAGCTCTTTTTACATGAAATGTTAAAGGGACTTATCTAAGGGAAGAAGATCAAAAACAATGAACAGTAAAATGACAGCAAACTCACAACTGTCACAACTGAACCTAAAAAACAAAAACAACTAGAGCAGGAACAGAATCCCAGAAATGGAGATCAGAGGAGAGAGAATGGGGAAAAGGTACAGGGAATAAGCAGCATAAATAGTAGGTACAAAACAGGCAGGGGGCGGTTAAGAACAGTGCAGGAAATGGAGACGTTGAAGAACTTGTATGTACGACCCACGAACGGGGGGGGCACGCCGATGGGAGGGGGTGCAGGGTGGAAGGGAATAAAGAGGAGAAAAAATGGATCAACTGTAATAGCATAATCAATATACTATATAATAAAAAAAGAAACTTAAAAATAAAAATAAAGTGTCTTTTGGCACAGACGCCAAGGCCGTGTGTGGGACGGGGTCTGGAGCATCTGGAGACACTTTCTGGTATCAGACAGGGAGTTTAGCAAAGCTGTTGGGTTCAAAATCTATGGGCACGATTCAACTTTAAGTCTACCTATTAGCCACTGTGTTGGAAATATAGAATTTCACTAAAAAATGCAGGAGTGGTGCACACTGTCACTGCAGAAAAAGCGTAAAACATTACCCGTGGGCGTTAGGAGATGACGCGAAGGCTGTGTCTGTGCTCTGGGCATCGGAAAGGGACCCCTAAGACAGACACAAAGAGCACTGACAAGTCAGGGAAATGCTGACGACATCAAGTACATTAAACTGTGTATCAAAGGACACCACCAAGGAGGAAAAGTGAGCCCAGGACAGACGACGTTGGCCGCCGGGGAAGCTTCAATGCAGCGGCATCGGGGACACAGGAAGACGAGGAGTGGCCACGGCCTCAACGCAAAGACGGCAAGAGGACTCGACCGGGACGTAGTACGGAGGAAACTCCGCCGCCCCCGCCCCCACCGACCCCGGGGCTCAGCGCAGCGCGGGGGCCGCTGCCTGCAGCCGCGCGGGAGAACAGCAATGCGTCCACTCAGGCGTGAGCGAGGCCGCCCGTGAGACCAACGAGTCACCTCCTTGGCAGGTGCTTGAGGACACAGAGCCGGCGATGCCAACGACGGCCACCACCCGCATCCACAGCAGAAGTGCAGTGTGACCGCGTGGAGGGCAGAGGGCCACACCGCCCAGCCCTGGGCTGCCGGTCCTCCGACCGACGCCGGAGGTGGGGTCACAGCTTCAGCCGCTGGGGAGGGAAGGACCCCCCCCCCAGTCCAGGTGGCAGCTACGGCGGTCCAGGCAGGGGGCCCGCGACTGCGGTGGCCCCACGTGGACCTGGAGGCGGGCGTGGGGGCCATTGGATGAAAAAGCACAGCGCCCATCCCAGAGGCCTGCTCCCCGCATCCTCATTAGGCCCTCCCTGTTGCCCATGGTTAACAGAAGCTCTTTTGAGGTCTCAGAAACATGTGGAAATGGCTGCAATAAGACACCGACGTTGAAGCTATCCTGGCTCTCCGTGAACCATGTGACCCAGCTTGAAAGGACACCCAAGGTCAGGAGGCACTGCAGCCGAGGCGGCATCACCGTGGGCGCCTGGCCCTCGGGTGAACGGCCCCTCGGAGGGACCGGTCACTGTTCTGCGCCCCATGCCCACGGGTTCTGAGCCCACAGTGACAGAGCTGCGCACACCAGACTGTCGTCGGTGGTTCTCAGCGGGAGCGTCAGAACCACTTGAGTGCTTTCTTCGGACAGATGCTGGGCTGCAGACAGAGGCTCCAGTGTGGCAGGTCTGAGGCAGGAGCTCAGGAGTTATGACATGGCCCCACGCAGCAGTGGTGGGGCTGCTGGTCAGAGACCCTGGACAACCTCTGCCAGGAAAAAAGGAAGAACTGTGTATCCACGACTTGCTTAATGATTAGCTCAGGACTCTCCCCACAGGAACAGAACCTGGGGCCTCTGTTTGTTCACCTGGGACGGGCCGTGAGCAGGAACCAGAGGATAGCAAAGCTGTCCCTGCCCGAGAGCGCAGGGCCCATAAACGTTTATTACTCACCGATGTCACCAGTGTTCCTAGTTACCACCCAATTTACCAACACCCAAAATCCAGGAAATAGACACTTGCGAGAAACCAGAACAACCCCCGAGAGGGAGGGGCCCGAGCGCTGGCCCAGCACCTAAAACCACCCGGCTCGGGGCTCTGCTTCAGGAAGCGTCCACCTTCTTCACTTGGGACCACACCTGCCCACCAAAGCCAGACATGATCAGGCGGGAGCACGAGGTGGCCACCCTGGGGGCGCCCCAGGGCTCAGGAGCCGTGATGTCCACCGTGGTCACCATGCAGCCGGAGACCGTCGTGCCCGACCACATCGTCTGGTCCCTGTTCAACACGCTCTTCTTCAGCCCCTGCTGCTGCCTGGGCTTCGTGGCGTTCGCCTACTCCGTGAAGGTGGGTGGGTGCGTGGGGGCCCACCGGGGTCCTCCTGCCCACGTCGCCCTGGGGAGTGGGACTTCAAGCGAGAGCCGTATTCTGGGTGCCCGTGTGCGCGTGTCCAGTGGGGCTCATTCCCAGCGAGAGTCCGCAGTGGGGCTACGCGGACGCGCCTGTGGAGGGGAGGGTCGGCACCATCCCCGGGGGCCCTCCTTTCCATCCCAGGCAGAGAAATCACGTCCTCACACAGTGCGGTCCAGAAAAAGGAAAAGATCCTCGGAGGCACTGACCCCTGGGGGGGCGAGACCAGCAGAGGGGCCAGGCAGGGGGAGGCGGAGCCCGGGGGCCCCCAGAGCAGCCGAGAGGCTCTGAGGGAGGGAACCCCCGGCCCGGACCTGCTCAGGCGCCAGGGGACAGGCACGGGAGGGTCCCGATGTGGCCGAAGGGCGGGGGGAGGTGCCCTGGGCAGGCAGCAGCAGGGAGGGCCCGAGTCCCAGCGGCTGGCCCTCCCCAGGCCCCGCGCCAGGCCCCCCTCACCATCTCTTCTCCGCCCCAGTCCAGGGACCGGAAGATGGTCGGCGACGTGGTCGGGGCCCAGAGCTACGCGTCCACCGCCAAGTGCCTGAACATCTGGGCCCTGGTCTTGGGCCTCCTTGGGACCATAGGGTGCATCGTGGTTCTGGCGTTGCTGTTGCCAGGTGTCCTCAGCGCAATAGCGCAGGCCGCGCAGGGCCACAGAGGCCTGTAGTGGCTGCCCACGGCCGGCGGACCACGTCTCCCCTCCCGCTCCTGGCGCTGCCCCCACGCCCACCCCTTCCTACAGCACTTTGTCCCTGCCCCCTGCCCGCCGCCGAACCCAATAAAGTGCACTGCATGTGACAACGTCAGCGTTTCCTGGGCAGCGGCCTCTGCCGAGCCCCCAGCCTGCCCCTGGGACCGCCCCACCGCCCCCTTGCCCACCGCTTGCTGCTCCGAGGGGGCCCAGCACTTTCTCAGCTGTTCCGGGCTCCAGGCCTCCCGCTGGGAGCAGCCGCTGGGCCGGGGTCCTGCGGGCGTCCGTCCTTCCCAGCCTCTGAGCCCTGATCCTGGTGGCGCTGGGTCCGGAGCCCGCGGGGCCAAGGACAGGCCGCCCTGACCGCGGGCCGGCTGGGAGCAGGGGCGAGTGCGGCTGGCGGGGCCTCTGGGCGCCCCCGTGAATGAAGGCACCCAGGGCTGTGCCTCCCCCAGCCCACAGCTCTGCCCTCCTCTCAGGGGGCGGGGGCGGGGGCGGGGGCGGGGGCGGGGGCGGGGGCCGGTCCCGGGCACGGGCCGCAGCCGGACAGAGCGCCCGGCCCTGAAGGACAGAAACCCTGAGAGGAAGGACCGGACCCTCCCGCGGCACCGGCGGGCCGATGGCCGGAGCCCCTGCCAGTGCCCAGGAAGGGTCCCCCAGCCTTTGGGGACCCTCAGGCCTGGGGTGTGAGCCTTTGCCAGGGCCGCCGCTGCACCTGGGGCGTGGGGCTGTCCTCAGCCTGACCCGGCGCCCCCGCCCCCGCCCTGCACAGGCCCCTTGGGGAGGCTGGGGCCGTCGGCGGGGCCGCAGGCCGGTGTCCGTCAGGTGAGCCGGCCCTACCTGAGCCGTGGCCTTTGGGGACCTGCGCTCGCCGGGGCTGCAGCTGGGGGGCAAGGGCAGCCCACGGGGGACGCAGCACCGACGCATCTCCCCTCCCCCACGCCCCCCAGCCCGTGAAGCCCCGGCGGCACGTGACTGCGGGGCCGAAGGCGGGCCGTGCCTTGTCCCTGTCCCCGGGGGGGCCCCCCCGACTGAGCAGGAGCGTGGTCAGGGCCAGGGCAGGGGGTCCTGCTGGGTCGTGGAAGGATTTGCTCCTGGGAGGGACAACCCGGGGCGCCGTCCTCTGACCGCCACCCCGGCCCGGGTGCCCGCGGCGGGCCGTGCAGCCCCTGCCAGGCAGCGGTCGGGGAGGGCGCTCAGCTCTGCAGAGGCCGAGACTGGGGACGAGGGCGCCGCCTGGTGGCAGCTCTCGCGCGGCCAGCGAGCCAGCCGCGCTCTCCAGCTCTGGGAACAGGGCCTGGGCGCCCGAGGTCACGCAGGCGCCGTGCAGGCCCGTTGGAAGGGCCTGGGGGCCGCCCGCCGGGCTCGGGAGGGCTCAGCCCCGGGCTCCCTGAGTCCTGAAGCCGCCCCAGCAGCTCCGGCTGCGGCGTGGGCGGACGAGGCGACGCCGTCAGCGAGGTGGCCGTGGCCAGGACGCTGGCCGGGGGTGGGGTGCGAGGCTCCGGGCTTGGGCTCCGCATGGAATGAAAGGGTCGCTGGGAAGGGAGGGGCGTGGCCTATAGGTGTGTGTGCCTGGAAATGGGCGGAGCATCTGGTTGGCTGGGCCCCGCTGGGGCGGAGAGGACGAGGTGCGTGGCCCCAGGGAGTCTCCCTCTCAACCTCTCAGCGCGTGTCTTCGAGACCTAGAGCGGCTGGTCCGCCAGCGTCTGCTTCAGGAAGCCCTGTGCTGGGCGCCTTCCCTGGCCTGACCCCGCTCCTGTTAGACGCCGGACCCCGAACAGCCTGAGATCCTGAGGCTCTTCCTGGGATTCCCACCCCACCAGCCGCCTCCGCGAGTCAGAGGGCTGCTGTTGGGGGCAGATCAGGGCGTGCGGGGAGGGGCGCAGGGGCCCACGCCTGGGGTCTGGGGCCCGCGGGGGAAGGGGCAGGCTTGGCCGGCGGCTCCTTCGCTCCCGCCCGCGGCTGTGGCCAGGGTCTGCCCTGGGCCGCGCCTTAGTGCCCAACGTGCAGAAGCCTCCACAAAACCAGGTGCGGAGCTTCCTTCCAGGTCAGGCCCGGGTCTCTCTTCCCCCCAAGAGGAGGGAGCCCCCGGGCTCCCTGGGCAGGTGGCCTGCGGGCTCCCGAGTCCTGCCCCCTGCAGCTTCCGGGGCAGGTGGGGGCCGGGGGCCGAGGGCGTCCTGGCCCCGGGCCGGGTGCCTCAGATGAACCCGTCCTGGGCCAGGGCTCAGACCTCAGGGGAGGACGGACCCCCACCCCGAGCCTTTCCCACTTGTTGCCCCGCCCCCGCTGGAGGCCAGGTGCGGGTAAGGCCTGAGGACAGGCCACCTCCCCGCCCCCAGGGCAGCAGGCAGGTGGGACGGGCGGGGGGCTGTGGGCTCCGTCCCCAGAGCAGGCTGGGACTCTCGCAGGACCCTCCCCAGGGAAACGCAGACAAGGCTGGGGACGTGTCCTTTATTGAATCCAGTTGTAGACAAGTGTGCGCGGGAGCAGCGGGGAGAGGAGCGCGAACTCGGACTCTGGGCAACCATGGAAGCCTCCTGAGTCCTCACGACGTCATAACAATGGTATTGAATAGTCACACCGAGCCAGTCGCCTTAAGACTGATTATAATGATGACCAGAATGACGCCCAGGAGCAGGGCCGCAATGTTCAGTTTCTTGGCGGTGGACGCATACTCTTCGGCCCCAACCATGTCGAGCACCCTCTTCCGGTCCCTGGACTAGGGGGGAGAAGAGATGGTGAGGGGGGCCTGGCGCGGGGCCTGGGGAGGGCCAGCCGCTGGGACTCGGGCCCTCCCCTGCTGCTGCCTGCCCAGGGCACCTCCCCCCACCCTTCGGCCACATCGGGACCCTCCCGTGCCTGTCCCCTGGCGCCTGAGCAGGTCCAGGCTGGGGGTTCCCTCCCTCAGAGCCTGTCGGCTGCTCTGGGGGCCCCCGGGCTCTGCCTCCCCCTGCCTGGCCCCTCTGCTGGCCTCGCCCCCCCAGGGGTCAGGGTGTGGGAGTCCCTTTGTTCTTTCTGAAAGACCCAAATTCTGGGACGGTCCGTAGGGAACTGCTTGGAGTCTTGGGGACAAAGCTGACCCTGCCACCCCCATGCACCCCGGGCAGCCTCATCGCGACCTGTACACACACGTGCACTCACACACGGAAGGGCTTCCCGAACCCCCAAACCCCAGGGCCATGTGGGCTGGAGACCTCTGGGCCCCCACACACCTACCCACCTTAATCGAGTAGGCGAACGCCACCAAGCCCAGGCAGCAGACATTGAAGTAGATGGAGCTGCACAGGGACCAGACGATGTGGTCAGGCACGACGGTCTCTGGCTGCATGGTGACCACGGTGGACATCACGGCTCCTGAGCCCTGGGGCCCCCCCAGGGTGGTCACCTCGTGCTCCTCCTTGATCATGTCTGGCTTTGGTGGGCAGGTGTGGTCCCAAGTGAAGAAGGTGGACGCTTCCTGAAGCAGAGCCCCGAGCCCGGTGGTTTTAGGTGCTGGGCCAGCGCTCGGGCCCCTCCCTCTCTGCGGTTCTCCTGATTTCTCGGAAGTGTGTATCAACTGAGGTTTTCAAAATGGGTGATTTCACTGGTTAATTTGAGGTGGAAAAAAACCCTTGGGCGTCTGGTGACATGAGGACAAGCAGGAGAGCCTGTAGCCTAACGGTTTGTTTCCTGTCCTGCCACTCAGGATAGCTCTTACCAGCCTGTTTAGGGCTGCGGCGGGCCCTGGGGACACTCTCCAGCCCGGACTCACCCCTCCCGTCCCCACTCCGGGCCCAGGACCGTGCAGGTCTCACTGTCCCCACGCAGGGCCCCTGCCCGTGGTCACACAGACCCCACCCTCCAGCCCAGGGGGAGTCCCGCCCCCGCAATCCACGCGGCCGCTGCCACAGGCCTCCTCTCTCATGTCCAGGCTCCAGGTGGGGTTGGGCGGCTCCTGGGTGCAGCCCAGGGCCCAGCCCCTGTGGCCTGGGCCCTGGGAGCTCAGCAGGGTCCCCGTGCACAAGGACGGGGGTGGGCGCTCGATGACAGGAGGCGGCGGCGGTGGCAGAGGGGCGATTCCGGGGCACGTGGTCGCGCCTGGAAGCACCGGGCGGCGCTGGGCGAGCCCCCCGTCTCCTCCCTCCCTCCTGCCCGCATCGCGTTGCCCTGGTGCTGTGGGGCGGGTGTGGGACAAGCTCGAGGTGGCGGCTGAGTCCCGACGTCGGCCCGGACCCCCTCCTCCGGGAGAGAGCCCGGCGCCCGCGGAGCCAGGGCGCCGCTTGTGCGAGCCGAAAAGATCGAGTTGTGCGGGTGGCCGTCTGCGGGTCTCGCCTGCATGGCGGAGGGTGTGCGGTGCCGATGGCCCAGGCCTGGACTGTCCCTCAGGACCGCGGCCCTCACCCTGGCGGCCCAGCTGGGTCGAGGCTCCAGACCCGCGTCCCGCTGCCCGCGTGGCTCCCACGCGGCCCCGAGACCTGGGTCTCCAGCGCCGGGGCCTGCGCCAGCTTCCGGTCCCTGACCCGTGAGCTTCCTCCGTGTGTCCCCTCACGGGGCAGCAGCGGCTTCCCGCGGGGGTGTCCTGCGGCCCGCCCCCACGCGACGTCATCGGGCAGCAGGGCTGACCCCGCGGCCGCCCTGAGCGGCTGAGGCGCCGTGCGCCGGGCAGCGCGAGGGGGTGGAGGGCGGGCCCGCCCTGTGCGCCCGGTCTGGGTAGTCGTCCCCGGGGTTGGGGACGCAGCGGCCACCGGTCCCCATGGGCTGCCTGCACCATCCTCCCTGCCTGTGGTCACCACGTGTTTCTGTCTGTTAGATCTTGTTCTTTTATACGTATGGAATCATATGATATGTAGTCCTTTGTGAGTGGCTTGCTTCTTTTAGAATAGTGTTTCACATTTCCCACGTTTTGGTGTGTATCGATGCTTCTTTCCTTTTAATGGCCAAACAACCCTCCATGGTGTGCGTAGGCCAGTCTTTTTATCAGTGATAACTTCAGGGACATTTGCGCTGTTCCCATCATTTGTCTGCCACTAATAATGTAGCGTCAAACATGCGCACGATTTTGTGGGAGCGCGTTTCATTACTCGCCACCTAGGAGTGGGTTCAGGGGCCTCCTGGATGTCTGCGTACAGCCCCTTGCAGAACCGCCACATCGTTTTCCTTGGCGGCAGCGCAGACCCTCAGTCCTGGTCCGCGGTCACTATTTGGGAGCCCTGTGGGTGTGGCCCACGCTGTGGGGAGAGGTTACCTGCAGCCCCGGGGTGAGGCCCAGCCTCTTCGAGACCCTGCCCTGCCTGGGCCTCACGCTGCCTCTTGGCTTTTCCATTTCCCCTGAGGTGAGACCAGAAGGCTCAAGAGCTGCAGGTGGGCATTTCTCACCCCCACCCCACCTTGGCTGTGTTCTTTGGTGAAGCCAGGCCTTTGCTGAGAACAGCGCATTTCGGGTTCTCGCATCTTCTCCGTGCCCGAGACCTGTGCTCGGAGGACCTGGTGGGGCTCCCGGACAAAAACTCACAGAAGTTGGGGCGCCCCCGGGCCGGGCTCCAGGAGTGTCAGTTCCCAGAGTCCTTCACCCCCTGCCCCATGTCCAGCAAGGAGCCTTTACCTGGGCCAGGCCCTGCCGGCCGCCGGCTTCGGCGGCGGAGTGAGGCTGTGTCTCCCTGGCCGCCGGCCCCGCCCGCCCTGGGTTTGAGGTTTGCACTGCGGCCTCGCTCCTCTGGCAGAGCCAAGGAGAGGCAACGGTTTTCAGCGCCTCCATCTTTTTTCTTGCCCCAAGGATGGGAGTCACAGCTTCTAGCATCTGCGGTGGAAATCGGGTTCGTATTCAATTTTATTTTATTTTTTTAAAAAAGATTTTATTTGTTTATTTTTAGAGAGGGGAATGGGAGGAGAAAAGGAGAGAAACATCTGTTGATTGCCTCTTGTGCGCCCCCTCCTGGGGACCTGGCCCGGCGACTCAGGCCTGTGCCCGGACTGGGAATCACCCCAGCGACCTTTTGGTTCGCAGGCCAGGGCTCAGTCCAGGGAGCCCCACCAGCCAGGACTGCATTCAACTTAAACTTCAAGTTTAAGTATCTTTTTCAGCTCTTGTTTGTTTTCCTAGGTAACTCATTTCTTTTTACCAATACGGTGTATCTTAGTGACATTGTCCTCAAAGCCTCCCTTCTTGTGTGCTCACATTTATAACGGCTAGGTTTGTTTTTTTAAAATAATTTTTACATGTTATTTTATTTTATTTATTTATTTTTAGAGAGGGGATGGGAGAGAGAAAGAGAGGGAGAGAAACGTCCCAGTGTGGGTGCCTCCCGTGCGCCCCCGTTGGGGACCAGGCCTGCAGCCCAGGCCCGCGCCCTGACGGGGGACCCAACCGGCGACCCCTCCGGGTCGCAGGCCGGCGCTCCGACCGTCGAGCCGCACCCGCCGAGGCTGCAACGGCCCGATGGAATTCTTTTCCTGAGAAAGGTGACAGGTGGTCAGGCTGCCACGCAGATTCTGCGTCTCGCTTCTCTTCTGGAGGAGGGGGTCCTACGCTGAGGATTCTCTGCGCGCCTCCTCGGTTTCTGTCGGCAACGGCACATTTTGGGTAGCGTGTCGCCATCACCCTGGGGGCCAGTCTCGTCTCAGTGCCTGTGACCGCCGTTTGCAAGCGCGTCCAGTGGCTGTGGCGTCGCCTCATCGGGGGTGGGGGACGGCCGCTCTGCGTGCGGGTCTGGGTCCGCCGCAGGCGCAGCGCCCGCTGGTTCTTCCGATGCCGGGAGGGCGCGCCCGCGGTTCCTTCGGGCGGGCGCCGCGGCTTCCTCGCGTCCGCGAGGCTCCTCCCGTGGGCCTTCCCGGCGGCCTCCATTGTTTCAGGCCTTCGCGCTCGGGGGCAGCCCGGTGGCCGCCCCCCGGGCCTCGGCCCCGCAGCGGGAGCGGGGCAGCCGCCGGCCGCCCCGGGGAGGGCCGCGCCCACCCGGAGGGGGTCGGTGTTCGAGGGCGTAGACTCTGGGCTCTCGCCCTAAGTTGCCGCGACTGCTCTTGAATCGGTGTTTCCTCGTTTGCCCTTTGTCCGGAGCTCCGCGCCCGGGCGGTTGGGCGGCGGCTGCGCGACCTTGTCGCCCGCCTCCCGGGGAGCCAGCCCACGAGCAGCCCCGCGATGGCAGCGGACGTCCCGGTGCCGGGTTGCGGGTCCCCGCCCTTCCCTGCTTCACATTCGGGGCTTCGCCTCTCCGTTTGCATCCCGGGCTCTGCGGGGACCCTCCGTGCGGGGTGCCAGCTCTCCAGGGCCGCGGGCCTCGTCCCGGCGCCGGCGGTGTGGCCCCGGGGACACACGCAGGGCAGGGCTGAGCACAGGGACGCGCATTCTGCGGGGGCCTCGGGTTTCCCTCCAACCCATTTGCCCAATCCTTCCTATTCATTTATTTCATATTTTACACATTTGCTCAGTGTCTCTCTCAGGACACTAAAGTGTATCCATACACAAACAAACAACTTCGGACGAGATGTGTGTTTCCCCAGTGTCTCAGCTCAGGCTCCCCTGGAAGCCTTGCATGAGCAGGAAGGGAACAACAGGCCAGCTTGCACCCCCACCCCCCAGCGCAAACAGGCCGAACCCTTCGCCAGAGACTGGTTCCAGGCATTCAGTCGCTGTGCACACCCCGGCTCACCACGAAGTACCTGCGCGCCACGAAGAACACAGGCTGCTCAAGGCCAGTCCCAGAAGGCACCAAACCGATAGCAACCGAAGCTTCAGAACGAGGCCTGTTTGGAGAGGGCTGGGTTTCCATACTCCCCCGTTAAGGTATTTGAAATGTCCAGTTTTCAAGCTACAATTTTGGCCATTCAAACAGACAAAGGGGAAACGCCCATGATAGAATGTGCTGGAAGATGCCCCAGCATCAGGTGAAGACTTGACATTGTCCATTTAGGGGGGCAGGGGAAAGGAGGGGGGGAGGCGGAGACAAATGTATTTGAACAAAAATAAAAAAATAGAAAATAAAATGTCCCCAATGCAAAGGAACGCGCGTCTCACAAAGTAAGAGAAAGCATGAGAACGGCATTTACTAAATAGAGACCACGGAGAAAAAGGGGGGAAATTTTAAAAGAACCAGGTCAGCAATTCTGAAGCTGAAAAGCGCAACATACGACATGGAAAACGAGGGCGGCGAGAGCACGTCCGACCTGGCAGGAGGAGGAGGCGGGTGAACCTGCGGACAGGCAGCGGGGCCCGTGGGGCCGGAGAGCAGGAGGGACGCCCGTGAGGAGAAGCGACCGGGCCCGCACAGCGCGAGGCCGCGGTGCAGCGAGGGGCGCGCCGGGCCGGGCCGGGCGCGCGGGGGCGTCGGACGCGTCCCGCATGTGATGCAAAGTCCACTCCAAGCCGTGGGTTCCAGGGAGGACAGCCTGCAGCCGAGGACGCCCAGGTCAGACTGTCAAAGGCAGAGCCAAGGGAACCGCACGCTCGCCCGGCGGCCACTCGCGAGAAGCGGCCTTCCCGTGCACGTTTTATTTGCATTGCAGCCGTGGCGACGGTGTCCAGCATCTTCCGTGCTATTGGCACGTGGACACTTTCCCTGGAGAAATGTCTATTCGAACCCTTTTCCCATTTCCAGCTGGGTCGCTCGCTGCCGCCTAGCGGTGGTGTCGACGCTTCGCTGCGGACTGAGCATTTGTGGGAACGTGTCCGTTTCCTCGAGACGCCCTTGCTGGGAACAGCTGTGCGTCTGTTTCTGAATAGTGGGTTAATGTCCCCACTTGCATCGGATTTTAGAAATTTTTTCCTCTTCTTTTTTTCAGTCACTCTAGCTAAAGGCCGGTCAATTTTATTGATTTTTTCAAAGAACCAACGTTTGGAGTTTTTTTTTTCTTTTTCTTTCTTCTTCTTTTTTTCTCTTTTCTTCTTCTTTTTTTTTTCTTCATAAACTGTTACTTATGTAGCTCCTACACCAAAGACATCATATTCAAAGGCAGGAAAGGGCTGCAAAGTGTTTAGTTTATGCCTTTTGACACCACATTCACTAGTTTCCGAAGGTGAATGGGCAATGGTTTTGTTGATTTTCTTTCTTTCTTTCTTTTTATTGTTCACATACATTTGTCTCCATTTTCCATCCACCGCTCTCCCCTGCCCCGCCCACCCCACCTCCTCAAGTTTTGTCGATTTTCTATATTGTTTTCCTGTTTTGAATTTTCTTTATATTTGCTCTGATCTTTATAATTTTCCTTCTACAAGTTTTAGGTTTTTTAAAAAGAAATCCTCACCCAACCTGACGACATGCTTACTATTGGTTTGTTTTCTAGAGGGGGGAAGAGAGAGAGAGAGGCAGAGAAACGCTGATGGGGACGAGACGTCGGCCGGTCGCCTCCCGTACACACCCCGACCCGCCGTCCGGGGACCAAGCCCGCAGGGCAGATGTGTGCCCGGACCCGGGGTGCCGTCTGGGTCCCAGGACGACGCCCCGCACTGAGCCGCACCGGCCGGGGCAGCTGCCACGTTGCTGCGCTCTTTGTCTTCTTAAGCTTCTTACGGTGGAGAGTTAGGCGTGGTCGCCCCGGGACGGGGGCCACCCGCACGCGTCTCTTCTGGGTGCTGCTCTCAGGTGCACATGCCCCGTGTCTCCGCCTTCAGCCTGTTTGTGCGCTCCGGTCAGAAGGCTGTCGTGTGCAGGCTGCAAAGGTTGGGGTCCGGTTTCCTTTCATGCCCAGTCCATCGCGCCCATCTGTCTTCTGACGGTGCTGTCCTTTCACATGTAATACAGTTATTGTCAAGGTACACATATGTCTTCAATTTGCCATTTTTTAATGTGTTATGCCTTAGTTTCTATATTCTCTGTTTCTCAATAACTGCCTTCTTTGCATGAAATAGATCGTTTTTATTTTAATTTCTTTTACTACATTTTTTCGCAAGTTACTTTCTTAGTGGTGGCCTGGGGGATTTGTATTAACATTTCAACTTGTAAGGAAATGGTTTGGATTAGTCTCCACTGAGCCTCAGTGACATGCGAAGCTTTCACTCCTGCGAAGCTTTCGTGTCATGTTCCTTTCACACGCGGCATCTCTGTTCATTGTGTATAAAGAGATACGGTGTATATACCAGGTTTATAATATTTCTCGATGCACATGACCTTTAACTCAGACAGGAGGAAAAAGTCAGACACAAAATAACATTTATAATGTATTTCAAATATTTGCAAAGACAGGTGCCTCGACTGGTGCTATTATTTATTTCTTCATGGTCATTGGAGTCCCTGTCACTGCTCTCTCACCGCGGCCTAGAGAAGCCCGGCTGGTATTTCCGCAGGCCAGCTCTGCAGCCCAGCATCCCTCTGGTTTCGCCTGAGAATGTCCACCTCTGCTTCACTTTGGGGGGCCCGTGGAGCTGGATACGGAATTCCTGATAGACAGTCCTTCCTGCGCAGCCTGGGGGCCCTGCCGTCCCCGCCTCGCCGAGGGGGCCGCCGCGGCAGCCGGCCCCCCCCCGCGATGCTTCCCAAGTCTCTGCTTCACGTCTTTTTCCACAGCCTGGTCACAGGGGTCCTTCTTGGAGCTGAACATCTTGGATGCGCAGAGTACAGGTTTTCACCGCGTTTGTGAAGGTTCGGCCCTTATTTCTTCAGATATCGTTTACGCCCTGCGCCCACGACCCCTGCCCTCCTGCATCGCCGTTGTCCGTGTGTCAGCGTGTTCTGTGCAGCCCTGGCTCTCGGGGACGGGGTTGCCTTCTCTCCCTCTCCCTTTTCCCCTGCTCCTCACACTGGGTGACCTCACCGGACCTGCCCTCGAGCTTACAGACCCTTTCTCTTCTGTCTCAGACGGGCTGCCGAGGTCCTCCGTGAAACGTTCGCGCTTTATACTTTCCCAGTGCGAAATGTCTGTGTGTTTTCTTTGGATGATTTCTATCTTTCTATTGATATTTTGTGTTTGGGGAGACATTCTTCTCATCCATTTCTGTAGTTTGCTGGCATGGTTTTCTTTATGTCCTTGAATATATTTCAGAGAAGAAAGCTAGAGTCTGTTTCTAGCCGTTGCAGCGCAGACTTCCTCAGAGACCCACCGTTTCTGGTGACTGCTCTTTCCCCTGAAGGGGCTGTATTTCTTGTCCGTTTGCGTTTCTCATAGTTCTGTGGTTGAAAACTGGGCTTTTTAAGTTATAAAATGTGGCAGTTCCAAATTCGAAAACCAGATCCACCTCTTCCCCGGGGAAACTCTTTTCCCATCTTCGTTGTTTCTGCTGCCTGTGCAGCGCTGTTAGGTAACTGTCACATCTGTTTTCTTTGTCCTGTGTGGCCACAGATGTCCCTGACGAAATGTGTGGTCAGCTACTGTTCAGACAGAAATTACTGAAATACCTGAAGCTGGTAAGTCCCACCTCTTCGGCCAGGGGCCCGGGCACGGGGGGGCACCTGCCCACGCAGCCGGGCAGACCCTGCCGGGCCCTGCGGGGCACAAGCCTGTCCCCACGTGTACGTCTGGCTTCAGGGACTTCACAGCTCAGACGACCGCCTTTCAAAAGCGCGCAACTCAGCGGCATTTACTGTATTCACAGTGTTGTGCAGCCACCGCCTGTCTCTCGTTTCGACTTTTTCCACCCCAGAAAAACATCCTGTGTCCGTTAGGTAATCACCCCCCACTTCCCTCTGCGCCGTCTCCCAATAACCGGTAGTCTCTTCGCCTCAGTGGAATTGCCTCTTCCGGGTACATCGCTGAAGAGGAGTTGCACCGTCTGTGACTTTGGGGTCCGCCTTCTTGCTTGTAGCAACGTGCTGTCGAGGCCCCTCCCGGATGCAGCGTGTGCCAGCACTTTGCCCCTCTCTACGGCGGAGCGGCCTCCCGTGGTGCGTGCAAACGATGATCTGCCTCCTCGTCCATCCGGAGACCTGGGCCTCTCGGCTGTCTCCAGCGTCGGCCGGTGGGCAGGACGCTGCTGTGACCGTGGGGAGTGTCGGTGCCGACGCACGTCCGCGCCCCTGGAGACAGGCAGGAAGAGCGCCCACTGCGCGTCCCCGCCAGCCCTGGAAGGGGGGCCCCCATTTCTCCGCATCTGCACCAACACTTGTTATTTTCTGCTGTTTTGCTAACAGACCCTCCGAGGGACGACGTGGTATCTCATTGTGGTTTTATTTGCATTTCTCAGTGACCATCATGCTGAATATATTTTCACATGCCTGTTGGTCACTTGTATATCTTCTCAGGAGGAATGTGATTCACGTCCTTGGCCCACTTAAAAATCATTGTTGTCGCTTTTCAAAGCCCCCTGTGGACGGCTCACAGCCTCCAGCTGTTCCTCTTAAGCTTTCTGACCAACTCATCCCTCCCCCCCTGCCCTGTAAACAGCTGGTCCCACTTCTGCGCCATTTGAACAAGTGTCCCCGGGGGGGGGGGGGGGGGCGCAGCTCTGAGTCAGGCCGGAGGAGGAGACGTGCGGGCAGTGTCTCCAGGTGGCCCCGCAGAGCTGCAACGATGGCCCGACGGGCTCCCCGCTGCCACCCGAGGCTGCGGGCTGTGGGTCAGGCTCCCAGAGGCTGATGACACAGCTGCTGAGAATGCAGGAAGTCCCAGCACCAGGAAACTCCTGTTCTTGCAAAGGCTCACGTGTTTTTCTTGGTCAAGCCACACCCAGGTTAGTGCGAGAATGTTTCGATTCCTGGAGTTCTGGAAAGTTTCATTCTTACACATTTTGCCAGCGCTGTCGCTGTTCTCATGGCAGAGGGGGTCTGGGGAGGGGCGGCCGGGGGCGTCACTTTACCGAGTCTGCTGGGACCAGCCCGTCTGTGCTTTTCACGAGGTGCCCCGCCTTCAAAGCACTGGTGAGCCCTGGGAACTGAGGGCGGCCGCTGCAGCGCCTGTCCCGCGCGGCCCGCCGCCGCCGTCCCTCTCTCCCCCCGTCCCAGGCGCGGCAGGGACCAGACCTGTCGGCAGTGTGTCACGGAACCGGGCCGCTGTTCTTATGTCTCACGCCATTAAATATAAGAGACAGAATGTTTTCTTCTACCTTCACTTATTCCTTCTCTAATGCCTTGTTGGCCTCCATGGAGATCCCAGTTTCTAACTGCGGTTTGATTTCTGCCGGAAAAACTTCCTTCAGCATCTCGTACAGGGTCACCGTGCACGGCGGCCTGCAAACTCCCTGGTCCCGTTTCGTTTCGGAGAAAAGAGCCACGGCTCCCTCACGTCCAGGGTGCCGCCCCACCGGCGCCATGGCTCCCGCGGGCGGGGCGTGTTTTCCTTCCGCGCGGCCAGCGTGTGTTTTGCCCGGTTCCTGCCGGCGCGTTTCAGAGCGGCATTCGATGCGCTTCTTGTCCTTGGGTTTCTGTAGGTGATGTCTGTTGGGTTTGTAGTCTCTCCTCAGCAGTGTGGCACTGGGCGTGCGACGCGCTTGGGCGTGGGCTGTCCTTTCCAGTGTGAGACGTCCTGTTAGTGAGGCTTCGCCCTAAACGTCCACGTGTCCAGCAGGAATGTAAAGGCAAAGCAACCTCTTGCTTAAGGTTCCATGGTGTATATATTTTTCGTTTTATAAAATCCAAAGTTTTTCAGCCTTTTCTCAAACTGGGTCTTATAAGAAGCATAAAGTTTTTTAAATTTTAAATCAGCTTTAGCAATCAAGGAATTTAACGTGAATAATTTAAAATATTACCATTTGATTTAACTTTCTTTTTTCTATTGTACATTCCTTTACCCCCTCTCTTTGCTTCTTTACTTGAGAAGTCCCTGTTCCACTCTTGCTTTATTGATGTTATAGCGACATACCTTGTAATTCAGATTTATTAAACCCCAATATACCATAGTTACGTAAATATTTCCTGGACAGTAAAAGGACCTCAGAAGCGTCAAAACTTGTTACCTGCTGTACTTCGCCTTTTTTTCTTTGCATTTCAATTGTACCCGCGCACCTGGTGTTCACTGAAGGGGCCAAACTTTAACACTAGGTCAAGCCTGGGCCGAAACAAGAAACTAGAACAAACAATACCCCAAGATGAAGGGAAGAATTAGAGCCCCCCCTTAGTAACAAGATAGGACAACGGCTGAGCCTTGACTCAGATAAATAGCCCAT